CTTTTTATCTGATTTAAAAAAAATGTTCAAATATATCACCGTTACACTGTATTGTTGGTTGAGTTTAAATTTCATGAAAATCAGAACAAAACTGCCAGACAAAATGCCTTTTTTAGCTTGTTCTCTGTCCATATCTTGCAAAATGTGGGTGTATCTTGCCTGACAACCGCTGGTATTAGTTTTGTTAAATGTTTCCAAATAAATGAATAATTAATTAGAATTGGTATCAGGGGTTTCACATTGTAGAAAGAGTAAGCATACCTGTAACTTAAATTTTATTAATTAGTTTCAACTTATTAAGTTCATGGATCATTTACAAAGAAATTAAAAAGCTTCAGGCTTCTGTTTTAAGTTTCCCTTAAATTGGCATTCATGGTATTATTGTCAGAGATAAAACAAGATGAATTTTAATATGGACATTAATATCATTTTATTGTTTTGATGTATTGAAAGCTTATCATCCCTAGTTAAGTAGCGTACCATGTGCGTTGATGTCATTTAGAATTGTATACATTAATAGTTGAATTTTTATCTTTACTGCAGACATAAAGCTTGTGACAACAGCTGAATATCATTGCTCCAATATGTTGTTCTAACGTCATCATTCGTCTTAAAAACTTGAGCAGGGGGTTTCCAATATTTTGATGTGAATATTATATAAATTTGGAAATACTGAACAAAGAATGTGAATATCTAATTGTACTGTTCTTGTTGTAGTCATGTATCATTTCTTTTGTCTGTGTTTTTGTGTGCAGTTCTCCTGAATACTGAATCGTTTCAGAGATTTAACTTTGTTAGGGTTTCCTGTCCATTAGTGACTTCGTCAAAGGCAAACAATTGACATATACACAGGATCTTAAACTTACCGTAAACTGTTTTCAATGAAATGAGATGAAATGTTCATTCGAAATTGTGTCCGAGTGTTTTTTTCATTAACTGTTGTTTGTTTCACCTGTACCCTAGAAACTTGTTCTGTTAAATTTTCGGTAAGTTTTTGCACTTTTCAAGAGAAATATTCTGTATGGCGGGGTATCGGGTTCAAAATGCAATCTAGAGTAAAAAGCAGAAAGTCAACAGTAAAAAGTAGAAAATCTAAAGTAAACGGGAAAATTCTTATCTAAAAGGGTATTTTTATGGTGAAAACCTATAAATTTATGTACTTAGTCTGCAGAAACATCAAGCTTTTCAACTTTCATGGACATAATTTCTACTTTCTACTATCAACTTTTGACTTTCGACTTTCTGCTTTCTACTTTCTACTGTCAACTTTTAACTCTCGACTTTCCACTTCAGATTTTCTACTCACGATTTTCTAACGCAGATTTTCACCAATACTATGGTGGCTGATAGTGGCCATGTAATTTTTCGCGATTTTCATAACCCGTCAACACGACATAACGACAGTATTAGTGAGAGCATACGTCAAAGTAGACTTGGATATTATAGACTTTTGGCAAGCGGAATCTTTCACATCCGTATCGCGTATGCAGATTGTATACGTGATACGTTGCGCCAGTATAGTTTTAGAGTTTTGACAGACGTTCGTGCCGCGTACGTATGAGTAGTTGAGCTTAGCTTAGTTCTCTTACAACATGACGACGGTTATCTACCAAAATCACCATCAGTGCTAGTCAAGTGCCTAGCCACAAATGCCTAGACTTGACAGCAATTTTTGGTTTCACTCATTTCAGAAAGTTTATACCCCTTTACGGTAGAATCACATCAGTTACAGATTTGCATGGTCCCACCTCCCTAAATTTAGCACGTAGATCATTCAGCATGCAGACAAACAGGAAAAATATGAAAATACCGAGAAAAACTTATCAAAAATAATGATTAAATTTCCGTCTTTATCATGGTTAAAATCACCTCAAATATACACCTTCGTGTTCTAGGATACACATAGATTCATAAAAACGCTATGCAACAACATTTAGCGTATAAAAGTATGAAAGCTGTTCGATACGTGCTGCCGCATCCGTGTACCGTATCACGTATGAGAAATACACACACATTGATGACGTCACACACAAAATCTATACGGATACGCGATGTGGACCAGGAATTTACGCTTGCCAAAAGTCTCTAATATCCAAGTCTACTTTGACGTATGCTCTCACTAATACTGTTGTTATGTCGTGTTGACGGGTTATGAAAATGGCGAAAAATTACATGGCCACTATCAGCCACCATAGTATTGGAGAAAATCTGCGTTAGAAAATCGTGAGTAGAAAATCTGAAGTAGAAAGTCGAGAGTTAAAAGTTGACAGTAGAAAGCGGAAAGTCGAAAGTCAAAAGTTGATAGTAGAATGAAAGTTGAAAAGCTTGATGTTTCTGCAGACTAAGTACATAAATTTATAGGTTTTCAAAATAAAAATACCCTTTTAGATAAGAATTTTCCCGTTTACTTTAGATTTTCTACTTTTTACTGTTGACTTTCTGCTTTTTACTCTAGATTGCATTTTGAACCCGATACCCCGCCATAATTCTGAGCTTGATATAATTTGAAGTAAAGAAAGATAAATATATTCTTAAAACTATTACATTGTAAAATGGATTTGTGTCCGTCCACTATTTGGGACACAATTATTAATCTCTGCTTCTAAACTAGGTGTAGGTCTTTATTATGTAAATGTCTTGATGTTGTTTGAAGATAAGCATTTTCTGTTTAGGCTAAGCAGAAATAAGCAATTTGATTGGTCGATACTGTGGACATAATTACTGGGTCTAATTGAGTGAGAGTGATGAAACTTGGGGTATAGTTTCGTTACAGTTTGATTAGTGGAGACTTTGGAACACGACAACACTGATTCTAATTTGGGTGAGAGTGATTAAACTCGGTGTATAGTGTATCAGTATTTTATGTTTAGCCTAAGTAGTGATTTGGAGAACAATAACTTTTGATTCTAATTGAGTGAGAGTGATGAAATTTAGTTTAAAAATATTGGTTCACTACATTAAAATCTTGACAGCTAAGTCTCTTAACTCTATCATCCAGAGTCTTCGACATTGAAAACACAAATTAATTGTCAATTTAAATCAACATTGATTTTGTGATCTTACCGGGAAAAGATGGGCTTCTAATATCTAATTTACTCTTCAAAAAAAGTAGGGGATATTCAGAAACAATACAAAACTGCGGAAATGCACTGCTGTTTTTATTAGAGGTAACCAGTGTATGTTAATAATGTTCAGGCCAATTGCCTACACACGAACATAAACAGTTCATATGGGCGACTTATCTGATGGCCCCATTTCTCTCGCAAAGAGATACACCTTCAAAAGTGAAAATCAACGTTTTTGATTTTTGTCTTAATAATGAGTAATTGCTCCACCAATCCTCAGACATTCAGCAATTTGTCGTCACGATTTGGGGCAATCTGACCCACTCCTCTTCCAGTGCCACGGCCAATTCTTGCAGTGTTGTCGTTTGACGTTGACGTCTACGAACACATCTCCTGATCAAATTAAACGTAACACGCTTAACCAAAGATATGCTAAACAGTAAATCTTATGCAAGAACCGATAGGAAAGCAAACATGGATAGATAAACCTGCACGTGGTAGTTTTCATCAACCCTTCCTTGAAGTGTCAAATTTGACAATGAACCCCTCCCACGTGTATGGCGCTATTGCGTGTCGGAGGTGCAGCCTAGTGGTTCTGTTGGGGCGATAAGTTCTTCATCTGTGAACATTCTCTCAAAGCATGTCAAGTGTCCATGACTATTTATCATATCACAACCTGCATATAGGTATTTGCATTTCAATATAAGAGTATATTTAAGACAAAATAAACATTTTACCATTCGTGTAAAATGCATGCGTTTCAGCACCATTTGTAGCAAGGGACTCGAAGAATGAATCTAGACATATTCCACTAGTCCTGTCAAATTGTGACGCCATATTCTTATCTGGAGAGCATGCACAATAAATACTATCAGTGTAAACTGGGATAACCAGAGATTGCCATTCGATTGAAACTTCCGGCGTATTTCGCCGAAGATAACTGATTTGAAATTGCATTATTATATGCGTGCTACCCATTTGTGTCAATTTCTAGATCCTAAATACTAGCGATTTAGCTCCTTTAAGTAAGTCTAATCATGAGCATTTTCTGCTTAGGCTAAATTAACCTTGTGAACACAATAAAGCCCATATTTTTTAAACAATTTTTATACCCCTGCATTGAATTGTGGTTGTATATTGTTGTCATCCCCATCTGTCTAAAGGCTAAAGTTCATATCTGATTGACTTTAATTTATACACAGTGTTTAAGGTCATGAGACGAGGAAGCCTATAGAAATGAAATGAAATAAACAACTGATCATGATGATTTCAAAACAAAACTATTATTTAAAGTAGCTAAGTCTCTAACTCAATATCATCCAAAATCTTCGACATTGAAAACACGATTTATTTGTCGGTTTAAATCAACATTGATATTTGGATCTTACTGGGAAAAGATGGCCTTCTGATATCCAATATTAAAGACAAAATAAACATTTTACAATTGGTACACGAATCGTGTACCATAATGCGTTTCAGCGCTATTTGTAATAAGGGACTCGAAAAACGAGGCTAGGCATATTCCACAAGTCATGTCAAACAGGACGCTATATTCTTATCTGGAGAGCAAGCCCAATAAATAATATCGGCGTAGACTGGAATAACCAGATGCTAGAGATTGAAATTCAATTGAGAATACTGGCAAACCTAACTGATTAAAAATTACAGTAAAAACAGAAACGTTTGAATGTAAATCAATTTATATACATTCATATTACATTATTGTATGTGTTGCGACCAATTTGTGTCAATTTCTAGGTCCCAAATATTAGCGACTTAGCTCCTTTAAGCTCTTAATTGGAGTGAGGTGGTTTTCGGGCAAGAAATTCCTAGAACTAGATTCTTGTAAATTTCAAGGATTGATATCTTAATTTGGATTTTACATTCAGCTTAATTCAAAAATTGTATTATTTGTATTATTTTGTTTTTTTATAGGAGGATGTTATTAGTAGTCATGTTGAAATGGGTGATCAGGCTACCAGCAATAAACCAGTAGAAAATGAAATCCAGTCGTCACAAACAATGTAAGTACAGTTTCATACATAATATGGTGGCAAACAATTTCTCTTCAATCAACCCAGAGAACACAAGAGAGCAGATTGATGTCCAAGATCAATCATTTCCTAAACCCATATTTGGAAAATTTGAAATTGGTTAAAAGTAGTAAAAGGCTCCAACCCTGAGTGGAAGAATGTTATAAACCTGGGTCCTGTTTCACGAAATTGTAACTAAGATAAAATCCAAATTTTAATAATTTGATTGGATAATATTAGATTGATTTTAGTGCTTAGCCAATCAAAATTGAAGTATCTACTAAAATTTAGATTTTATCTTTAGTTAAGGCTGACCTTAAAAATATCTTTGTTTCACCAAACCCGACCCACAATCGAGGAGAAGGGTCGGTAGGTCGTTTTTTTTTTCAGATTTTTTTTTTAAAGCCAGAGAAATCAATACAGAAATCTGATTAGCTGTATACTACAGATTCAATAATTTTGTTTAATGAATTTGGGGTCTGACGTAAAAAGTAACGAACTGAAAGTTTTTATTAAACTTAAGAGCTAATTTGACAGCTTAATAATTTTCCGGGTGGAAACATTCATCTTCTTTATTCAATTGGCAAACAAATCAATGACATCGGGATTTTTCGTGATGCCCGACTCGCACACGATTTGCCACGAACTTGAAATGTGAAACTATTTCAATTCGTTTTTAACGATAGCGCGGGTTGTGCCTTCATTTTTCTCGAAAACGGATATTGAAAATATCGTCATCATGTTTAAAACTACGCACCACAGACATAGAGGCAGAATCATTTCGTGGGAATGGACGTGTATTCGTCTGCAACCATTTTGTTGAGAAGTGACACCTATGACGCTTTCGTCTTGATCAACCAGTTTCAATAATGAATCAAACCATAGCCATAGTTAAGGGAAATAACTCTCGTGATATATTTCAGGTTGACACACAAAATAAAATAAAAAGATCGTGGAAAAGTGCAATAAAATAATTTAAGTCGGGGGTGGTTTTAGTTAGTCGGTCGCGTTAGGCCTAAAATTACGTGAAACAGGGCCCTGTATTCTAGTCCTATGTATTTGAAGTTCTGTACTGCTTGGGTTAGGCTTATGTTTTAGTGGTAATTGATAATCTCGATTACCACATCACCCATACAACTGAACAGTGGAATCCCATAAATGAGTTATTTAACCATAGTTAGTGTATAAAAACTACAATTTTTATACCTCCACATTATGAATGTGGACGTATATTGCCGCCACTCCTATCTGTGTCTGTGTGTCGCCTACAGGCCACAATTCTTAAGTGATCATCTTGAAACTTTGCATACTTATTCCTTATACCCTACGGATGATCGTTATTGTTTTTGGTGCATGCCCGACCCCCAGGGGCAGAGCCACGCCCATTTCTTGTATTTGTTTGTTTGTCGTCTACAGGCCGCATTTCTTAACATAGCATTCTTATTCTTTTTACCCCAAGGAACATCCCTATTGTTTGGTGTACATACCCAGTCCCCAGGGGCAGAGCCACACCCATTTTCTTTTTGTGTCTGTGTGTCGCCTACAGGCCACAATTCTTAATCGATCATCTTGAAAAATTTTCATATGAATTCCTTATACCCTAAGGATGATCAATTTTGCTTTTGGTGCATGCCCGACCCCCGGTGGCAGAGCCACGCCCATTTCTTGTAGTTGTTTGTCATCTACAGACCGCATTTCTTAATGTATCACCTTGAAACTTTGCATACTTATTTATAAGGGAGATCCCTATTGTTTGTTGTGAATGCCCAACCCCCAGGGGAAGAGCCACGCCCATTTTTATACGCCCACATTTCATGTGGACGTATATTGTCGTCGCCGCAGTCCGTCCGGCTTTTCACAATTGTTTATGGACATTCTACAAGTCCCAATTATTATACGCCCACATTTTCATGTTTACGTATTATGCCGTCACTCCTGTTTGTGTGTCCGTCCGTCCGTTCGTGGACACTCTACACGTCACAATTTTTATCCGATTTCAATGAAACTTAAAATATAGGTTTATCTCCCTAAGATCTCGGTTCCATTCGATGGATTATGGCCCCTGATTGTACGAAAAATCATGTTTTTAGCTTGTGGTCCCCATAGAGGTCACAATTTTTTTCCGAAACTTGAAATGTAAGTTTATAACCCAAACATCTTGGTTCCTTTTGATAATCACACATATCCGAACGTAACTTCCTGAATTATGGCCCCTGATTGTACGACAAATCGCACTTTTAGCTTGTGGACCGTATAGAGGTAGGTCATAATTGTTATCCGATTTAAGAAAACGTTTGAATACATCACCGTTACACCAACTTACTTTACTTACATTTCGTAGAAATCGGACCAAAACTGACAGACAAAACGGTCGCCCCTTGTAGTAGTACTCAAATAGTGTAAAAATAAGGTATTTCAAGGTTGTGGACCCTCTAGATGTCACAATCTTCTTCCGATTTTGATGAAACTTGAAATGTAAGTTTATAACCCAAAGATCTCAAAAGGAAACAAGTATGATGTGATGAAATAATATTAAAATAGAATAGTAAAATTGTTTATATGATCACTCGAATGCGCAATGCTGTGGGGCGTTGACCAAAGATCTATGGAGTGATGAGGTTAATACTGTAAAACAATTAATCTGTCAATCATTTGAGGCTATTTAATGCTTGGCAGCCAGTGCTAATAACGTATACAAATGTCAAAACTTTGAAGCGGGGGGGGGGGGGGGGGGTAGGGAATTTAGAGTCATTAACTTCTCGAGACTTATTACAAATGACAAGTGCTATTTGAAATATTTATGTGGTCTTAGTGAAAGAAAACAATGTTGTGGCTCTCATTCCTGTGTTTGAAAGTCAGGTATCATATGAAAACGAATACCGATTACGGCGATTAGTAATTTTTTGAACCGGTTCAACAGTGCAACCGAACTGTGACCGGTTAACCAAATGACCATTTACATCCGTTTTTAGCTTCTGGTCCCTGTAGATCCGATTTAAAAAAACACCATGTGAGTATATCACCATTACACAATAAGATCTTATGAACGTAACTTCCTGGATTATGGCTCCTGATTTGAAATATTGTATTTTTAGCTTGCTCAATTTTTTTTTCGATTTTAAAACACGTTTAAACATATCACCATTCCACCATAATGAAGGTTGAATTCGAATTTAAGGAAAATCGAAATGCAACTGACTGACAAAAATGGCCGCTCTTTGTACGCAAATTGTGTAAAAGTATGCAATATGAAGGTTGTGGACCCTCTAGAGGTCACAATTTTTATCCGATTTTGATGAAACTTAAAACATATCTTTATATTCCAAAAATCTCTGTACCTTTTGATATTTGTGCATTTCCGACCATAATTTTCTGGATTATGGCCCCTGATTGTACAAAAAATTGTTTTTGTCCCCCGCCTTTCGAAGAAAGCAGGGGACTATTAAAATGGGTTCGTTCGTCTGTCTGTCTGTCTGTCCATCCGTCCGTCTGTCTGTCTGTCCGTCTAATTGACCTAGAATGTTCAAACTTGGTGTAGGTGTTTATTCGGTCAATGCCTTGATGGAGTTCGAAGAAGAGCATTTTCTGCTTAGGGTAAGCAGAGATAAGCAATTTGATTGGTTGATGCTTTGGGACACGATAACTTTACTTCTAATTAAGTGAGAGTGATGAATCTTGGTGTATAGTTTCATTCCATCAATACCTTGACTAAGTTCGATAATGAGCATTTTCTGCTCAGGGTAAGCAGAGCGATAAGCAATTTGATTGGCCGGGACTTTGGAACACAATAACTCTCCTTCTAATTGAGTTAAAATGTTCAAACTTGGTGTAGGTGTTTATTAGGTCAATGCCTTGATTGAGTGTGAAAAGATGAGCATTTTCTACTTAGTGTAAGCAGAGCTAAGCAATTTGATTGGCCAAGACTTTGGAACACAGTAGCTCTCCTTCTAATTGAGCTAGAATTTCAACCTTTGTAGGTGTTTATGAGGTCAATGCCTTGATGAGCATTTTCTGCTTATGGTAAGTAGAGATAAGCCATTTGATTGGTGAGAGTGGTGAAACTTGGTGTATAGTTTCATTACATCAATACCGTGACTAAGTTCGATGATGAGAATCGTCTGCTTAGGCTAAGAAGCAATAAGCATTTTGATTGGTCAAGACTTTGGAACATAACAACTCTGCTTCTAATTGAGGTAGAATGTTTAAACTTGATGTAGATGTTCGTCTTGACTGAGTTCAATAATTAACATATCGAGCTAAAGCTAAGCAGAAATTTCCTTGGTCGATGCTTTGGGACAAGATAACTTTGATTCTATCTGATACAGAGTGATAAAACTTAGTGTATAGTTGATAATCAGTTTGATTGCTCGATACTTTTGAAAAAAATAGATGTGCGATTAATTATGTGTCATCTATTTATTTGGGGATTTCGGCGGGGGACATCAGCCTGACTGTTGGCTTGTTGTTTTTAGCTTATTCCCTATCCATCTCTTGCAAAATGTGGGCGTTACCTACCAGGCAGCCGCTGGTAAAAAGTACCCTATCAATCAAAGCAGGAATGTGGACGTATATTGCAGAGTTAGCAAATGAAATGAAATGAAATGAAATGGGGTTTAACGTCCTACTGTTTTGCTCCGAACTGGGCTAATGAAGACGGGCATACGCCATACAGTGTGCTATGAGGGAAATTTTGCCCGGACGGCTTACTCTTATATCGAATTCCAACAGTCAAGGGATCTTTTACGTGCACGCCAATGTGTACACAGGACCTCGTTTTTTTGTCTCATCCGAATGACTAGACAGCTGTCCTTGTCAGGCCCTCCGTCCTGCATCACTGACAAGGGGAAACCACGCCGGAAAATCTGGATGAACTTTCTCGGCCAATGCAGGGATCGAACACCCGACCTCCAGGCTAGCAAGCCAGCGCCTTACCTACTTAGCCACCGTGATCCCATGCTCTTGTAAAATAGTAGTTTTCAAACTAGCACCGAACAAAAAATAAATCTAAAAATTATTAACAATTATGATATGTTTTTAATCTGGTTGTCGTGGTCACAGCTGGCTACACAATCTAAGTCAAATCATTACCAAAACATCATGTACAAGCCTATTGACAAATATCATACAACTTTTTATACCCTACATGTTGTCAATATCATCTTAAATTTTTATTACCACAGTCTGTCTGCCTTTGCTTATTGGCAAATATCATCATAGCATGTTTACACTCTCAGTTATTGTCTTCCATTGTCATTACACCTGTCTGTCAGTTTATTTTCTTGTAATCACTGTTAAAGAGCACACAAAATGACCGTATAAAAGTGGTGTGTTCTTAGTTTCACACCAATCTGATTGGCAATCGACGTCAGTGGTGATGTGCAGCGGACATTTTGGGAAGTTTTGTTAGGGTATCAAATAACTTTACCCAAGTTCCATTCCCGCAGTTTGCTTGTCAATGGTTCAACCACATAATATTAGTTACTGTCTTAAAATTTGTCTTCTCACACCCCGACTACTTGCCTCAGAAGTGAAGTTTTTAAGTTTTGCTAATTTGAATCTGATTGAAATACATCAACATCTGCCATATTTTTGGTCAACTCACGATTCAATTAACACAGTGACTTGACTCTTATAGACTAGTTATTACTTATTCCCAACCTTTCATATAAAATATGTAAATTAAAAGCTAATATAGAGAGAATCAAATATGGCAAGATGAAGAAGCCTGTTGATTTTAAGCTATTTCTGATAACTACTACCAGAGGTATGGCCATTGATCACTTTCAAAAACACTAATGTTATCATTCAGTTGACACATTTATACACACTGTTCATGCTCTTGAGATGATGATCTTGGAAGAAACCTATCGATTTTCAACAATTTCCAATGATTACTTCCAGAATTATTGCCATTGACCACTTGAAAAAAACTTCATAATGCTCAAGAGGATATCGTTATCTTTAGTGTGCCTTTAAATAACTACACAGTGTTTATGTTCATGAGTTGAAGAAGCCCAGAATGGCTATTTGAAGTTATTTTCAGATAGATTTGAAATTGATACACAGTGTTTATATTCATAAGACAAAGAATCCTATTCAATTGTATGTTAAACCTGCAGTGGGCTATGAAGAAAATTTTGCTCAGACCATGGCATTACGGCAGACTCTTTATTTCGAATTCCAGATATCAATATAGTTTATATACGCCCACATTTTCATGTTCATATGTATGTTTATAACCCACAGATCTCGGGTCTTTTAGATATTCGTGCATATCTGACCATAACTTCCTGAATTATGGCCCCTGATAGTACAAAAAATCGTGTTTTTATACGCCCACATTTTCATGTTGACGTATGTTGTCGTCGCCCCTGTCCGTCCGTCCACAATTGTTTGTGGACTCTCTACAGGTCACAATTCTTATCCGATTTCAACGAAACTTGAAATATAGGTTTATCTCGGTTTCTTTCGATATTGGCATGTATCGGACTGTAACTTCATGGATAATGACCCCTGATTGTATGAAAAATCGCGTTTTTAGCTTGTGTACCCTATAGAGGTCACAATTAATATCTGATTTTGTTGAAACTTGAAATATAAGTTTATAACCCAAAGATCTCACTTCCTTTCGATATTTCTGAATTATGGCCCCTGATTGTACGAAAAATCGCGTTTTTAGCTTTTGGACCCAATAGAGGTCATAATTTTTATTCGATTTGAAAAACTTTTTGAATATATCACTGTTACACCCTATTACCCTAAGGTAAAAATCGGAACAAAACTGACAGAAAAAATGGCCGCCCCTCGTACACAAATAGTGTAAAAAATATGATATATCATGGTTGTGGACTCTCTAGAGGTCACAATTTTCTTCTGATATGGATGAAACTTGAAATGTAAGTTTATAACCCAAAGATCTTGGATCCTTTCGATACTCGCACATATCGGACCGTAACTTACTGAATTATGGCTCCTGATTTTACGGAAAATCACATTTTTAGCTTGTGGACCCTATAGAGGTTAAAATTATATCCAATTTCAAAAACCGTTTGTTGAATTTCGTAAAAATCGAACCAAAACTGACAGACAAAATGGCCGCCCCTCATACTCAAATAGCATAAAAATATGGTATATGAATGTTGTGGACCCTCTAGAGGTCACAATTTTCTTCTGATTTTGATGAAACTTGAAATGTAAGTTTATAACCCAAAGATCTTGGTTCCTTTCAATATTCGTGCATATTAGTGTTGAAACTACTATTCGGATATTCATTAACGGATACAAAATAAGGGTTATCCGAATCATTTTACTATCCGTTTACTATTCGTTCCAATCTATTCTGACATTCCCTATGCTCTATATTTAGCCAGTTTTACATCTGATTACATTTGAAATTTTCCCCAATGCAATTGATCACGTACGCAGCTCTGAGCATAAATGTCAACATTATGCGTATTATTTAGTGATAGTAACTAATAAAATTGTAAATGCAGTGCAACGAAAACACAAACAGTAGTCTAAATAATAAAAAATATATTCATTCCCTGCACTAGTTTACGGCATACAAGTTTAGACCATGTTTTGACTTCCCACAATGAAATTTATTCATAACGACCTAGGTCACGTATATTCCCACTCACTGATTGGTTCAATAGTAGTAGATTATCAGAATGAGGCGAACGACCCTGGTGGAATAAATGGCACCTGTTTTTATTTTACTTTTTTCATTCGTGTTGATTGAGCAAAATGATAAGTGGGAGGGTGCGGATTACAGGAGTAGTTATACTATACAAATTCCTTCACCTCATTGATTTTTTGGGATGTCATAGATAGTCTTAATAATTACGGCTGAAGGTAGGCAGGTTTTTTTCTTACGGCTCAAACAATTTGCAAATCGAAAGTACGATTCATACTCTTCATACACAGACACTCATAAACATTGAAACAAGTAAGAAATTATGAGTACCGGTATATGAACTTTTGATTTAATTTTGTTCAAGAATTTCACGTCTTCGAATTATCTGAATAGTATTTGGATAGCCAACAAAAGTATTCGGATCACAAATCTCGATCCGATTTTCAACACTAGCGCATATCGGATTGTAACTTCCTGAATTATGGCCTCTGATTGTACGAAACTTCGTGTTTTTAGCTTGTGATCCCTCTAGAGATCACAATTATTATCCGATTTAAAAAAAAACACGTTATCACTGTTCCACCGTTATGTTTGTTGAGTTTGAATTTCTTGAAAGTCAGGCCACAACTGCCTGACAAAATGGATCCCCTCGTACACAAATAGTGTAAACATCTGGTAAATCAAGGTTGTGGACCCTCTACTCGCTCTAGAGGTCACAATTTTGTTCCGATGTCGATGAAACTTGAAATACATGTTTATAACCCAAAGATATTGGTTCCTTTTGATAATCGCAGATACCTGAACCTAACTTCCTGAATTATGGCCCCTGATTGTTCGAAAAATCGCATTTTTAGCTTGCGTATTCTCTAAGAGGTCACAATTTTTTTCCGATTTTAAAAACTGTTTAAATAGATCACCATTCACCCATTATGAAGGTTGAATTTGAATTTCGGGGAAATCGAAATAAAACTGCCTGACAAAATGGCCGCTTTTTGTATGCAAATTGTGTAGAAGTGTGTAATACGAAGGTTGTGGACCCTCTAGAGGTCACAATTTTTATCCGATTTTGATGAAACTTAAAACATATCTTTATATCCCTTTTGATATTTGCACATTTCAGGCCATAACTTTCTGGATTATTGCCCCTGATTGTAAAAAAAATTGTGTTTGTTTTTAGCTTGTTCTCTATCCATCTCTTGCAAAATGTGGGTGTATCCTGCCTGGCCACTGCTGGTTTATAATAACTCTTACATGAAGATGGTAGAATTTTCACCTCTCACCTTTTAATTTTTTTATAGCAGTGTTGTGAATGAAATCCTTTCCTTGGAGAAGTCAGCAAGCTTTATTCTAGTTGATTCCATTCAGATGTCAGAATCACAATCCATTAGTAAGTCATATGATACTCCACCTAATCATTCAGAATCATCAGCAAGTATTATTCAAGCCTCTGCAGAGAGCGTCAGGTAATTTATTAGATATTCTTTTATTATTCTCATCTTGGATTTATTTTTAAATATAACTAAAATTAATGTAATTTTAAAGGGGAAGACCAATGATTTTCAACAAATCTTAAATATTTATTGATAAATAATCCCCTCTGTAACACAAGCAAAAAAGTTTTTATAAACGAGAAATTAATTTTTATTTTAAACCGAAAGTGACATAGTTGGTTCAACATGCTCACCGGGCTCTATAGTAAGCATACAGATTTGGCACAAGTTTACTGCTGTATTGTGTTTACGCATCGTCCTTTGGCCAAAAATCTGATCAAATGGGTTGTTTATTAGGATATTATAAACACGAATTGATGTTATTTTTAACGTTTAGTAAACAATTAGCCATGTGGCGTGAATTGAGGCACAGTGTACGGTTCAGTATGAGTGAATTTACGCAATGGCTTTGTGTACTAAACGTTAAAAACCCCCATAAATTTGTGTTTATAATAAACAGCCCATTTGATCAGATTTTTGGCCAAAGGACGACGTGTGAACACAATACAGCAGCCAAATCTGTATGCTTACTATAGAGCCCAGTGAGTGTGTTGAACCAACTATGTCACTTCCGGTTTTAATAAAATTTAATTTCTCGCTTACAAAAACTTTTTTACTTGTGCTACAGAGGGGATTATTTATTAATATATATTTAAGGTTTATGGAAACCTTGTTGAAAATCGTTGGTCTTCCCCATTAACATCTTTGAAGTCCTGATGCACAATTTGCATTTGTTCGAAAAATAAATTTCATGGCTTAATCAACTATAATATGTACTCAGATTGATTATGTAACATTTAATTAAGACATCAAAATCAAAATACTAACGCTAGATAATGTCACAGCTTGAATTCAATCAGATTTAAACAGGCCTATAATTAAATTCTTGTGAAAACAAAATGGTGGCAGGCTTATGGCATAGCGAGACGCATAGATCGATGAAATTTCAATTCTAAATGTTTTTGTAAATACTGAACGAATTGAACCATTTTTGGACTAATATCCCTATTACTAAGTATTAGAGATTCATCTTTCAGGATATTGTAATTTGCAAGTGATTCCTGCTTAAAATGGTGCATCGGGACATTTAGGAGACCTTGCGTAAAGCCTTGTTAAACGGTGATTTGTCTGCATTATACAGATACATATTAGATTGTTTTTAATAAGATCTGTATAAATAGCTCTGCAATGCAATTACAGTTTCTACAGTAGAATGGTTGGATAGTGATTGATAAGCCTGTTAAGCGAAAATTTCTGACTGTGATGATGTAGGCTAATATTCCAGTAGTCAGATATTGATACTATTCTGAAGTAACTACCAACTAAAATTTACATAAAAACTAAGTTGTACATGTCAAATGTTTAATCATAACAATGGACCCAGAAGTTGAAAATATACAAGTAATTATGAAAGATAGGGCTAATAGTAAGTGCAGGGATACTGTACCACACACACACAATTACAGACAAGGCAATCTAATTAAAATATAGATCTATATTTCGTTTCATTTTTTATACTTTCGATGGCCGACACTACATGTAGATCTAACAAGTTATAGTGGGAGTTCACGTTCTATGACGTCAGGTACCAAGCAAGCGACAACTGACCCGATTACGTCGGTCATTCGATTAACCAATTAGCGACCGCCATGTATTTTTTTTTATCTACTTTTGCTTTGTTTTGATTTCTATTGCCGCTAATGACTACCCACAGTTCCGCGCAAAAAAGGTCAAACGCTCGATTCGACAGACCATTTGATTGGCTGACCCCTCATTTCAATTAGAACACAAGTTAAATAACAACGCTTCCAGATCCAAGTGTAGTAAAGACAAGTAAAATCGAAATTTTGAACTATAAAAACGAAACAAAATTGGATCTGTGTTTTAATCAGATTGCAGACAAGGCACAATACACAGAAATCACAAACAAACATACATATCAGATTTAGTAAATGGATCCGGGGGCTAGCCGTAAACATCCACTGCGCTGTACAGTCCTGGGCCTGTAGTGATACAGACTTCACTCAAAAATGAAAACTAACAATAAGGAGAAATATATCCCAAAATGTTGTATAATACTAGTACGAGTCATGATCTGTTATAATGCCAAATGAAATATAAATGTAAGCACATTGAAGGAAAATTACCTATGCAAGTAACCATATTGGTGAAATGTATTAAAAAGCCAAGTACAACTAAATGGCCTATGTTATACTATACTATATAGTGAGAAACATTATAAGCGTTCAAAAGAATTGAGGTGTATTAATTACAAAGTTAAAGCATAGTCCTTATTACCACAAAACAGAGGAAAAAACATTACTGTATATAAGGAAGCAAACAGAAAATGTTTTTAATGTCATATGACTTAAAGGAGAATGCTACCACAAAAGGTTGTTTTATTATGAAAAATAAGTTTAATATACTCTTCAAAAAAAGTAGGGGATATTCAGAAACAATACAAAACTGCGGAAATGCACTGCTGTTTTTATACGCCCGTCCGTCCACAATATTTTGTGAACTCTATAGGGTCACAATTTTTATCCGATTTCAATGAAACTTGAAATATAGGTTTATCACCCTAAGATCTTGGTTCCTTTCGACATTGGCATGTATCGGACTGTAACTTCATGGATTATGGCCCCTGATTGTACGAAAAATCCTGTGTTTAGCTTGTGAACACTGTAGAGGTCACAATTTTTATCTGATTTGGTTTAAACTTGAAATGTATGTTTATAACCCACAGATCTCGGTTCCTTTCAATATTCGCGCATATCGGATCATAACTTCCTGAATTATGGCCCCTGTTTGTACAAAAAATCGCGTTTTTAGCTTGTGGACCCCATAGAGGTCACAATTTTTATCCGATTCAAAAAAACATGTGAATATATCACCGTTACACCCTAAGAATGGTTGAGTTCGAATTTCGTAATAATCGGACCGAAACTGACGGACAAAATGGCTGCCCCTCATTTGCAAATAGTGTCAAAATATTGCGTATTAGGGTTGTGGACCCTCTGGAGGTCACAATTTTCATCTGATTTTGATGAAACTTGAAATGCATGTTTATAACCCACAGATCTCAGTACATTTCGATATCTGCGCATATTGGACCATAACTTCCTGAATAATGGCTCCTGAGTGTACGAAAAATCGCGTTTTTGGCTTGTGGACCCCATAGAGGTCACAATTTTTATCCGTTTTACAAAACCATTTGAATATATCACTGTTACACCCTAAGGATGGTTGAGTATGAATTTCGTAAAAATCGAGCCAAAATATTGTGTATCAGGGTTGTGGAGGTTAAATTTTCATCTGATTGTGATGAAATTTAAAATGCACGTTTATAACCCAAATATCTTGGTTTCTTTTTAATTTCGTGCATATCGAATTGTAACTTCCTGAATTATGGCCCCTGATTGTATGAAAAATCGCTTTTTTAGCTTATGGTCCCTCTAGAGGTCACAATTATTATCCGATTTAGAAAAACATTCGAATATATCACCGTTACACCGTAATTTTGTCTGAGGTTGAGTTTCATGAAAATCAGACCAAAATTGCCAGACAAAAAGGCCGCCCCTCGTACCCAAATAGTGTAAACATCTGGTATATCAAAGTTGTGGACCCTCTAGAGGCCACAATTTTGATCCGATTTTGATGAAACTTGAAATGCAAGTTTATAACCCAAAGATCTTGGTTCCTTTCAATATTCGCGCATATTGAATTGTAACTTACTGAATTATGGCCTCTGGTTGTACGAAAAATCGCGTTTTTAGCTTGTGGTCCCTCTAGAGGTCACAATTATTATTTGATTTAAAAAAACATTCGAATATATCACCGTTACACCATAATGTTTGTTGACGTCGAAATGTTATCACCGTTACACCGTAATGTTTGTTGAGTTCGAATTTCTTGAAAATCGGGCCAAAACTGCCGATCAAAAATGGCGATCAAAAATGGCTGCCCCTTCTATGCAAATAGTGTAAACATCTGGTAAATCAAGGTTGTGGACCCTCTAGAGGTCACAATTTTGATCCGATTTTGATGAAAGTTGAAATACATGTTTATAACCCAAAGATCTTGGTTCCTTTCAAAATTCACGCGTATATGATACTATCTTCCTGAATTATGGCCCTTGAATGTACAAAAAATCACGTTTTTAGCTTGTCGTCCCTCTAGAGGTCACAAATATTATTCGATTTAAAAAAACATTCAACTATATCACCGTTACACCGTAACTTCCTGGATTATGGCTCCTGATTGTTTGAAAAATCGCATTTTTAGCATGCAGATTCTCTAGAGGTCACATTTTCTTTTTCCGATTTTAAAAAACGTTTAAATATATCATCATTCCACCATAATGAAGCTTGAATTTGACTTTCGGGAAAATCGAAATGAAACTGCCGGACAAAATGGCCGTACTTTGTTCACAAATTGTGTAAAAGTATGCTACAAAGGTTATTTGATATTTGGGCATTTCAGACCATAACTTTCTGGATTATTGCCCCTGATTGTACAAAAAATCCTGTTTGTTTTAGCTTGTTCACTAACCATCTCTTGCAAAATGTGGGTGTATCCTGCCTGGCAGCCGCTGGTTTTTAGAGGTAACCAGTGTATGTTAATAACAGGCCAGTTGCCTAAACATGAACGTAAACAGTTCATATGGCCCCATTTCACTCGCAAAGAGATACATTGTCTTAATAATGAGTAATTGCTCCACCAATCCTCATACATTCAGCAATTCGTCGTGGCATGCTCCTAATCAACCGTCCAATTGCGATTTGGGACAATCCGACCCTCTCCTCTTGCAGTGTTGCCTGTTGAATTTGACGTCGACAAACACGTCTCCTGATCAAATCAAACATAACACACTATATAAGCCAAGATACCTTGAACATTAAATCTTATGCAAGAACTGATAGGAAAGCAAACATGGACATGATAAACCAGCAAGTGGCAGTTTTCATCAACCCTTTCTTGAAGTGTCAAATTTGACAATGAACCCCTCCCATGTGTATGGCGCTATTGCGTGTCGCACATGCAGCTCAGTGGTTCTGTTGGGGCAATAAGTTCTTCATCTGTGAACATACTTCCAAAGCATGTCAAGTATCCATGACTATTTATCATATCACAACCTGCATAGGTATTTGCGTTTCAATATCCCCTACTTTTTTTAAGAGTATATTAGCATATTTCCGACCCCGCGAAGTTTTGAAAGCCATTCTGAATATTATTACAAAGGAAAAAATGTAACAAAAAAACCCTAACTGACATTATCTATGCATATCTGCGGCCTCGTTTTTGTTTTTGCTGTCAAATTAGAAGAGCTTTTTAACACTCTGCCCTCAAGGATAAAATTGCTCTCGTCATATTTTACAAATTTGTCAAAAAATGAACCCCTAGACTGCAAATAAAGCCCATGTAAATGAATCCTTGAATATTTTCCAATGAGTATGAGAATTTAGTTTCCGGTTGCTGAATTTGATACTCGGTGCTGGAAACATGATGCGTAAAGTAAATAGGTGCTTGAAATATTTATGTTAACATGAAATTATTCAATTAGATACTTATTTTATTGTATATAATGTCAAATTATGTAGCTACTGCATACTATATATGGTACTACATGTTGGTCATTGAGGTTATCGATCTAAACGTAATTCCAGCCAATAATACTATAAAGTATGCAATATGCAAATAATATCGTTGGCCTTCGTGCTAGCATGCTGTAAGCCAATAGTTACTGTAAATTTTCCTGCGTTTAGATGGCTCTAACAAATGACAAAATAGGTTTTTTTTGCTATATAGCGAATGCCGAACAGTCAGCATTTTTATGAAATTTCCTCTTGATTGAGGATGAATAACTGAAACAATAATTCGATGATTATGTCGAATCAGTGAATAATAATTAAACCTGAAAAAAAAAATTTCAAAAAAAGAAAGAAAATATATCCAGTAAGAACAGTTTTCCAAACATTCGATTGATCACATACGTACCGGTACTTACGTAGTGGCATCAAGCTTCTCACTTGATTTTCTATATAGTATAATAAGTGTGTGTGTGGTTTTTTTGAATGTTAAAAAAAAAGATTATTTTTTACTTAGGTCTCGATATGTTTCCATTCGAGCCGTTTCCTCCCACTGCTAAAGATCCCTACGCGCAAGCGATTTGTTGAAATAAAATTAAACCATATGTTAGTCCCGAAATGACCTGGTTTGTGTCGAGTGGACGTTAAACCCCATTTCTCTCTCTCTCTCGATTCGAGCCCAAACTGACAAAACGGGGAACATCGAATTGTTATGGTGCAAGCTTTGTGCCAAACTTGTCAAAATTATCAGGGAGTCAAAGTTAAATTTAATTTTTTCTTTTCTGTGACTTTTATCCATAATTTTCATCAAGTCAGTATGGGAGTGATAGATTGATACTGAAGTTTGGTTTATTTATGTATTATTTATTCTAATAAATATTGAAACACACATATTTTCTAAGTATTAATGGTCAATAAATGGCTTCATCTATGCTCAAAGTATGAAAGACATGAACAGCTCTTCTGAATAATGGATTGCTCCTCGCTTTTGAGTTGAGAGCGATTTTCTGCTGTTGTAATTTTAGATGGGCTTTTTAGGGCTCCTCAGTGATTTTCAAACATGAAGCACTGAATGGTCAGTTGCGTTGCTTTGAGATGTACTACTACTACCAACACTAAATATGGAAGAACATGTCATTTTTAGGGTAAGCAGAGATAAGCAATTTGATTGGTTGATGCTTTGGTACACGATACTTTAGTTCTAATTAAGTGAGAGTGATGAAACTTGGTGTATAGTTTCATTACATCAATACCTTGACTAAGTTCGATAATGAGCATTTTCTGCTCAGAGTAAGCAGAACTATAAGCTATTTGATTGGCTGAGACTTCGGAACACAATAACTCTCCTTCTAATTGAGCTAGAATGTTCAAACTTGATGTAGGTGTTTATTAGGCCAATGCCTTGATGGCGATCGATGATAAACATTGTACAATGCTTATGGTAAGCAGAGATAAGCAATCTGATTGGTCAAGACTTTGGAACATAACAACTCTGCTTTGAATTGGGGTAGAATGTTTAAACTTGATGTAGATGTTCATTAATGAGTTCAATGATTAACATTTCGAGCTAAAGCTAAGCAGAGCAAAGCAGTTTCATTGGTCAATGCTTTGGGACAAGATAACTTTGATTCTATCTGATAGAGAGTGATGAAACTTAGTGTAAAGTTGATAATCAGTTTGATTGCTTGATACTTTTGGAAAAAAATAGTTGTGCGATTAATTAATATGTGTCATCTATTTAATTTGGGATCACTGTTGGCTTGTTTTATTGTTAATATGTAATCTCGTTCTCTAAATTTGGCAAAACAAACCCAACGCCTAGCCTTTTTTGCCTCTTGTCATATTACAATCATTGCAGCTATTTCATATTTCATTCTCTTCATTTTAAAAAGTACCATATATCAATGATAGCAGGAATGTGAACGTATATTGCAGCGTTAGCGATGCTGTAGTTGAGTTTATTGGTCAAAATATTTCAAAAATAGCTTGCATGTTAAAATATACATTATTTTTCTGGCGTTAATAAACTTAGTAAAAGGCCTTAGAATGAGCAAATTTCAACTTAATCATCACCACCGAGTTAATAGTCAAATGCACTCACAATAACAGTGAAAGCTAGTCCAATGTCATTTGAATTGCATATGACTGTGCAGATTTCCTTCAATGTCTTTTAGAATTTGACATTTACTTCTTTTTATGTCTGGAATTTATGAATATGATAAATCGTTATAGATTGTAAATTTGATCTTGATGTAAAAGAGAATAATATATGAACATGTCTAGAAAATTATTAATAAACTTGCTGACAGGCTATTTCAACAGCTTGTGTACTCCCCAATATCAGATGTCAATCTATTTGATACCTTTATTTTCCTTATTGACACATGATTTAAATCAATAGACAGCAAATTTAATGCATTGTAAAAAAAATCTAAAAAAAAAAAAACCCCAGTAAAACAGGCTTAGATTTTCAAATACCTTATTTGTTAGATTTTATATATTTTTCAGTTTGGAGTCTGCAGAAACAGCAACACCCATTTTAGAACATGACCTATCTTCTGGTATTGATATAAGCAGTATTACTGATGTCACAGAATCTTCCCCACAACCTACAGTTGTAGGTGATGCACCCTCTCCTACCCCTGTAACAGCACCTCCTCAATCAGCTTCTGATACCCTCCCCATCACTGATGAGACAGAACCTGGTGGTAAACAGGAGGAAGACTTTCCCTCGTTCACGGAGTGGACACAGAAAGTTCTTGCTGAACAGGAAAAAACTAAACAAGAGAGTAAGTTGAAGAAATAGCAAGAAAAAAAAATAGTGCACTTTATGGTACATTATAAACCTATAACGTTAAATCCCTTTGATCTTTGGGGTATATTCTATGCCTGGAATAACTTGCGGTCTGGATGTCGGGGGTGACTTTGGATATATACAGGGGAATTGGGCATCAAAATGGCCTACCTTCTAAGCACTAAGTAATACAAAGTAACAAAAAAGTTATTCTTTATGTAAAATCAACAATGTTTAGCACACACACATTGTACGACAGGCCATAGCATGCTGCCGTAGGCATTTGTCTAATTGACAATCAAAATGTGCAAGATTTACTACAATGAGCAAATTAAAAAATCAAACTATTTTTATCCTCATTTAAATGTCCTAAAAATGTTGAAAAAATCACTGAATTTAACTTAGTTTGCTGAACGAAGTCGGTATTGTATTCGCCGACCACAGGTCAACATTTTGAATTTTTTTCGTAGTAAGTCGTATCTGGGTCATCTTCTTCTCCGTTAAAAATCCCGGAAGAAACACTTTCCCGAACACTATTGAGATTAATATTTACATCTAAAATACCCTTTGATAAAAATCCCACAAATTCTGATTCGGAATCACTTTCCAAAGTGAAAATTATTAAAAGACTGGGCGCTGGGATATTACAATTCGACGAAGAGTGGCTGCCTTTTTTGGTACACCGTATATCATGACATGTATATCTTCTTCTCTGTTTCATATCTGGGAAAAATCACTTTCCCCGGATCATTTGTCATTTATACTGAGATTAATATTCACATGTAAATATCCTTTGATAAAATTCCTTCAAATTCTGAATCGGAATCACTTTCCATGGTGAAGAAATTATTAGATGAACGAGCGTGAAAATATTAAACTTGCATACAAAATGGCGCCCTATGACACAAATTTTCTCTAGAGTTCATGATCTTATAACCCCTAAACCATTGATGTGACGTATAGGTTTTAGGATTTCAATCATTAGTTCAACTTCAAACTATTGGCTTATTGGATACCAACTTTTGGAAAGCCGATCGTCTTTTTTTATAACTTTATTTATAACTTTATTGATCAATAAAACAGTACATCAAAAAGGCTGTCAGCAGTCATTGATGGGCAAATTGTCTCGCGAGTTTACAACCTTTATAACCCCTAAACCTTTGATGTGACCTACAAATTGTAGGATTCCAGTAATTAGTTCAAACTATATATTTATTGGATAACTACTTTTGGGAAGCCTATTGGCCTTTTTTGATAACTTTCTTGATCAATAAAACATTACATCAAAGAGGCCGACAACAGTCGTTGTTAGGAAAAGTGACTAGACATTAGGTAGTTGACAGGGGATGCAGGTCAGTTCATCCCACAACCGTTTCACCCCGGGCTGTTTCATCCCAACCTATTTTTTTATCGGGCTGTTTCATCCCGGGCTGGGGGGTTGGATGGCTGAATGGTTAGCGTGCACGCGCTGTATCATAAAGTCTGTCATTGAGTCGACTGGCGTGGTTTCGAATCCCCGGTTGTACGTGGCAAGGAGTAGGGTCACATGTCAAACCTCGTGGGTTTTCTCCGGGACTGCTAAAGACACCTACGCGCAAGCTAATTATGTAAATAAAATTAAACCATATGTTAGTCCCGAAATGACCTAGTTTGTGTCGAGTGGACGTTAAACCCCATTTCTCTCTCTCTCATCCGGGGGGGGGGGGGGTGGATGGCTGAATGGTTTGCGCGCGCGCGCTGTATCATAAAGTCTGTCATTGAGTCGACTGGCGTGGTTTCGAATCCCCGGTTGTACGTGACAAGGAGTAGGCTCGCCTGTCCAACCTCGTGGGTTTTCTTTGGGTCCTCCGGTTTCCTCCCACTGCTAAAGACCCCTATGCGCAAGCGAATTAGTGAAATAAAATTAAACCATATGTTAGTCCCGAAATGACCTAGTTGTGTCGAGTGGACGTTAAACCCCATTTCTCTCTCTCTCTCTCATCCCGGGCTGTTTCATCCCCTTGTTATTAGAATAGCAGTTAATTAACTGAGTTGTACTTATTGTTAAATAAACTGTTAAACACTTACTTATTGTTAAACAAAACAATAATGTATGGAATAAATAAGTTTTTTACTTGTCGATTTTTGTTGATTACCGATCACGACCGAGATTAGTTCACCGCTGTATATTCGTATTGTTTGTTAATTGGCGTTATGATTTTAGGCCAGTTCACCGATTTTTTTATAGTAAAGTATATTCGTATTGTCAGTTAATTGCCGTTACGATTTTAACTTACAATATTATTTGACCAAATCCATACACCGGAATTCATTTACAATCACCGGAATTCCTGTGATTAGTCTACCCGACTAAACAACTCCAAATATAAGAATCCCTAATAAGAATCAATTTAGAATACTAAAATGTGAATCATAACACATTATGGTCTAAACTGTGTGATAAATTATATAATAAATCGTAAATCAATGGAACCTGTTGTAAGGTGGACACTGCATGCTTTCTTTTAACGTTGGGTTATTTGAGGCAACAGGTAGTCTGAACATCTAAAGATAACACGTGTCGAAATAGTGGCTACGTGCAATTTTATTCTTTGATATGTTCAATTACTGGCAATCCTGTTATAGTGAAACCAACATGCATGAAAATGACTATATAGTGTATTACAAGTTGAATGTTTTGCTATGAGCATCGCTCGATTGTAAGCGATGTAATTTTAGTGAAATTGGTGTCGAGAATTGTTGTGAATTCGGAAAATAAGCTAAAGCGTATGCAAAGGAAGAAGTAAGACACTATTCATGTTAAAATTGCATTGACATATTTTATAAATAAAATATTTGGAAAATAAGCTAAAGCGTATGCAAAAGAAGGGGTTGAACACTATTCATGATAAAACTGCATTGACATATTATTATTGGTATTAATGTATAAATAAAATATTAAAAAAAAGCTAATTATGTCGACGCCTGGCGAAAGTAGGACCGAATGAGTTAAACCTGGACTTCAATTATGCTGGGGAAGAAAGACTTCATAAAAAAAACCTAAGAAAAAGAAAAACCGAGGCCAGCAGGCCAAGGTTTTTCTGTCGAGGTTTTTTTTTCTGAAGTCTTTCTTCCCCAGCATAATTGAAGTCCAGGACTTTATCCTACACTTAATAACCATCTTTCATGAAAAAATGACCTTGATATAGCTCTGTAGACAGTTGAAATTTAAATGCATTAGTTAAGACAGGATATGATGTGGATGAAGATAGGTTCAATATTAGCAAATTTTTATATGCCAACATTTTCATGTGGACGTATATTGTCGTGGCCTCTGGACGTCCGGACATCTGTCAACAATTTACTTGTGGACACTCTACAGGTCACAATTCTTATCCAAATTTGACGAAACTTTAAATATAGGTTTATCTCCAAAAGATCTCGGTTCCTTTCCATATTGGCATGTATCGGATCGAAACCTCATTGATTATGTGCCCTGAAAAATGACATTTTTAGCTTGTAGACACACCGGAGGTCACAATTTTCATGTGATTTTGAAATGCTTCCTCTCAATATTTGCGCATATCAGATCGTAACTTCCTGAGTTATGGCCCCTGATTGTACGTAAAATCGCATTTTAGCCTCTAGACGACACAATTATTATCCAATTTAAAAAAATGTTCGAATATATCACCGTTGCACCGTATTGATGCCGGAGTTAAAATTTCGTGAAAATTGGACCAAAGCTGCCGGACAAAATGTCCGCCCTCTTATGCAAATAGTGTAAAAATATGGTATTTCAAGGCTGTGGACCTTCTACAGGTCATAATTTTGATCTAATTTTGATATAACTTGAAACACTTGTTTATAACCCAAAGATCTTGGTTCCTTTCGATGTTCATGTATATTGGATCGTAACTTCCTGAATTATGGCCCTTGATTGTACGAAAATCGCGTTTTTAGCTTGTGGTCCCTCTAGAGGTAACAAATTTTATCCGATTTAAAAAACTGTTTGAATATATCACTCTCACACCGTAATGGCGCTTGAAAATGGGACAAAATGGTCGCCCCTCATACGCAAAAAAAGTAAACATCTGGTACAGTACACTTCAAGCGGAAGTACTAAATTTCCCCGAGGTCCGACCTGGGCGGAAATGAAAAATCGCGGACGTCAGTTAATCAATCTGCTCTGGCCACGCTCAAAATTCCGCTCTAAAATTCCTCTGCGAATTTAAATAATTTAAACCGCCGCCCACCGCGAAATTTTAAAAAGTCGGACTTTCCACGCATGTACAGTCGGCACATCCATAGCTGTTTTGAAATGGGTTTATTTATCGTGCGATTCCACGGCAGTGATATCGTAGTCGAATATCGGCATGCCAAAAGAAAGATTGTTAATTTAACACGGTTAGACACGCAGATTTTACTGGCTTATATTGAAAAATAACAAAAATCAAACAGGCTTTTAAATAATAAAATTAACAGAATTATGGCTGTGCCGTACATTACTTCATCAATATGTTCGACATTTTTAAGACTTGCATCGATCTTCTATTTCAAACTCATTCAAATTACCGTTAGCGAAAGTTTTGTGTATCGAAATAGCCATTTCCATTCGGACAAATATGTCACACAATGCATTTTAAATTGATAAATCACACCCGAACAAGTAATATATGCCTTCATCTCCTGTTTTCAAGCACACATAGCCAGAAGTCACCGTCAACCTTGCTGAACACATGTATCAGTCGGATAATACCTTGATTTCGGCACCAAAGAGTCTGGGTCAATGCATACTGTCAGTCAAGATTCCTAATTAATTACGTGAATTCACACGTGTCATCAAAAGGAATTGATAATTGACTAAAATAGAAGCCCCTTTAACAACAAATTGTTACCATGTCGTATTCTTGTAAACAATACTTTCTATTAATTTTATTTACGATAAAACTCGGGATTTAAAAATGTGGATATAAAAGATAATTCAATTTTTGAATCGGTACAGACTTAAAGGTT